AATATCACATAAGGAGTTGGGTGACCAGGCAACGACCAGCTTTCGACATTTATTCTTACATATCAGTGGAGACGTAGACCGGCGAAGACGCTTTCTGGCGTGTGTGATGAATATTATCATGCTGTAGGCCCCCATCTAAATTAAGACAGCTACGGGGAAGTCGATGTATAAGCTTCTGGACAGAGCATAGTGCTTTGTAGCTTCCAGCATCTTGAGAGGAAACTGTTCCACAGCTACCAGAAAATCAAGTGCCATTAAGGGCTGCCAAAAGAAGCCGTCTGCGAAGAAACTGGAAAAGAAATAATCACAATGGTGGACCTCGATTCGGCACGGGCCACTCTGGTTGTGGACAAATCTCTAATCCCTAATTTAGATAAGAGACAAGAATGCGCACGCAGGTTACTAAGACACCCACAAAGCCAGCTGCTTACGGGCCACGATACCTTCGAGCGGTGTCAATATCGAATCAATATAATCGCGTCTCCGTCTGCATGAACTGCTACTTAAGAAAGGTAGAAACTTTGAATCAGGTCCGACGTTTGGCAAGAACCGCATACAGCTGTGACAAGTATTTCTTTGCCAAAAATTACGGTAATACACATAGAAGACAGGCGTCGGAGAGGAAGTGGAACGTATATGTGTAGTACTGAGTATAAAGAAGGTTTTCTATTTAAAATCTTAACGATGGTTAAGAAAGACTTTCCCTGTCAGGCAGCACTCAAGTTATAAAAAATACCATAATAGCTTTCAGGTCAGGGTCATCATCGAGAATACAGAGCTCGAAGTACATTCAGCTTGATACGGTACCTTCAATATTGCAACGGTGCGGAAATAATTAATCATGTGAGAGTCATATATATTCCTAGAGTTCCTGGTTGTACCTGCTAATTACTTTCAGGGATTCCGTTGATTAAGCTCATGCATTATTGCGGTTTAGAAGTTCCAACGACTGGGAAACGATTTCTTTGACTATTGTAATGCACTTTAAAATAGAGAGACCTGCATTAATTGTTGCCTGCTGGACATGCATAACACAAGTAATCGTAGAAAGTATCGTAATGAGGATGGCTACATTGTTTTAATATATTCAAGTTAAACTGCGTAGGGGATTAGACCTTTATAACCGTAAGCAATCTATTGACCCGGGTGATCATGGGTAGCTGACCTATATTTCTTCTTCGGTCCTCTTCTTCAGAATACGTTTCTGAGCGACAATGAGCCACATTAATTATAAACCATCTTCCACGGCTACTAGTGGGTATGACATATTTTGCTTTTGTTTACCATTTTAACAGTCGTAGTGTATAACTTGAAGCACCAGCGCATATGCGCTGATGTTAATTAACAGTTTGTTGAGAATGACATATATACATACAAAAGAAGTCTACCACCCGCTTCCATGAACCTCGCGCTTCTTTGAAGAAAATTTTTTATAATGATTATTGAAGGTCGACCAAAGCGGTCCTTCGAACATTATAAGAGAAGAATTTAATGGCAACGATTTTTTGAGTATAGCATTATTTTAACGAAAATGTTTGTGTGAGTAACGGAAATTTACCTATTGACGTTGTTTTTCTCAAATTATTAGGTAAACCTTTCATTATTAAACGTTTAACAGTAAAATTAAAATTTGACCAAGGTACATCTCAGTCTCATTGTACAACAATGCTATTCTATGAACTCGATGTCGTATGTGTTAAACTCTATCTGGGCCACGAACCTCCCGTTAACACTATAATTCCCTTGAAGGTGATTATCATTCATATGCCGTTGACTGTTTCAATATAAATTAAAATTAAATTATTTAGTTTTCAGAATAAGAAAAAAAAGGCCTTTCAATTATAATGTACACTACGTGTGCATGTACACGCATAGGTGTACTCGAATTAAGGATTTGGTGGACTTGACATTTGTATGCTGTTTCTTAGCTAACTGGACCATCGCCTGAATTATTCGTTAGAACGACCGACCAGATTTAATTAGTATACATTAGACATTGCCTAGGAGAACATATGAAGGCTGTTCACTGAGTAAAAACTGGCAACATATTATTGTCTTAACCTTATGTTAATAATATGGCGTTCCATACTCATAGAATTGGGATTTATCCCGAGCTTGCATGAAGTAAACAAAAAGCGATTCCAAACAAGCTCGTTTTTTGGTCTATTTGGATCTTATCAATGGTCGCTGGCCTGTACTATTGTATGTCGTCTATAGCAGAAATTCTCGTCCGGAAATCCTACCTAACCTCCCGACTGCACCGAGGAAGAGGCGTTGAGCTTCTCTAAACCCTGGAATATAATTCAGAGATTGCGGCGCAAGCCTTCACTAGAACGACCTCCTTCCAATCGGAAAGGGACGTAGTGGCGAGGGAAATCGTCTGCGCGTTCTTTCCATATAGGATATCTATTCAGCGGAGTCCGCAGCCCCAAAGGTTCGAGAAAAGGTTGAAACGATGAAGTAGTTGCTGCTTTTCAGTGAAGACGAAAATGGAAGTAATGTTGGGAAAATTTCGATGTGAAAGGGTGTGGGATCACGATTAGCGTCATTGTTATTCAACTGCTACCGTCTTACATTTTTAGCTCATTTGGTGCTCCGACTGTATATTAGCTGGTCATTGTTCGGAAAATGCTACGAAAATCCCGCATTCGTTGTATTATGTAGTAGTTCCGTGGTAATTTTTAACCCAATTGTGTAAGCAAATGCGACCTACTCACGTTTGTTTGAATCGGATGTGACCTATTTAGAAAAAAAAAACACTAAAAATATGCGAAAGAGATTCAGCTTGATGATGGTTGTCGATGTATGTTTGGGCGGTGTTATCAGCTCAGGTCATATCCTGCGGTGGCTATAGTAATCAATGTTAGACGGTGCGTATTGAATGTGTGTAATATTATGTCTTCGCCATATGTTTAAGGATTACCTTAATTAAGCGATTTAGAAAAATAATACAGCTGTTTATCGTATCGCGACAATGTGAAGGAAGGATGACCTCAGTGTGGTTTTAAACGAAATGAAGCACTAGTAGTACGGACTTACGCAACAGATTTGTGTCGTTGGTAGTTATTGAGCTTTCGTAGGTCTGATTGTGACGGGAAGCCGAGTCAAGGTCCCGCTGAAGCGATGCGAAAGCAACCACGAAGGTATAATAAGGTGAACAAACCCGGATCCTGTCAATCGTTGCTGGATCACTCCCAGCGTGCGGTGCCTGACGGCATAAATGCGACTACCCAATCATAACCTGTCTTGTTAAGTCTAAAGGCCGTAGTGACACTAAAGGTCGTTAAGTTAGCAGCCCAATATAAGCCATATAGTTAGTTTTATCAGGCGATTCATGTATGTTATCTATATAAAGTTGTTCAAACCTATGATTTTAGATCCCAAGAGAAATGCCGTTGGCGCAGTGGGACAACGTAACGAGCTTTAGATAGAAATCGACACCAATTGTCCAACAAGCACCAAAATCAGAATTGAGACCCGATCGCTTACACGATCCGCGATTTATATATGTTTCCTACCCAAGTTTCCGCAGATCACTGTAGTTTTAGTCGGCAAGTGTGATCGATATTGCCTGAAAGGAGAATTCATTGGCGTAAAGGCACCGGATAGCCCGTTGTACAATGAGTGGCGATCCTACGAACGTTATCATACCCTAAACGGAAATGAACGACGGCCTGTGTCACAACGTGTTTATGGTGGTCTTAGAGCAGCATGTGGTATTTCAGACGATGGATGTTAGTGAATGAGAGTGCAGACTTGCGTGAGAATGTGAACCCTATTCACAGTCTTTCAGGCCGAATGCACCCCACAGGCTAACAACAGAATGGGCGTCACGGCAAATAGGCATTTGATCGATAAAGAAAGCGACGGATACATAAGTTCTGCTAGTTGAAAATTACAATTATATGTATACTACTAAAAAGAGACGTACTCCATATAAAAATACGTGAAAATCCTATAAGTGCGATTTAATGTTTGTGTTGATCAAATGTGCGGCTCCGGATAATTTGGTCGAACTATGCGAGGCCGTTAATGCTCACGATTAATCAGACAGAAACGTGCATCGAAGAGATGGATATTTTACCCGCTGAAGAAACTTGTCTGAGGGAAATGGAATGGCTTAATAGCCAATGACAAAACGGATATTTAGTACTGGCAAGGCTAAAATTCCTTATCTTTCACCGTACGAGACCCAGGCAGAACAAAGTTAATGCGCGAGGAGGGTGCGTTCTCTGCAAAACAGCTCATTACCCATATAAGTAAGATATTATGTAGTATGGTTGAAAGGCTGAAGTCTAATCGTAAGCATGAGGCTGTAAAACTGGTGAGGTTCGGGTATGCGTTGCAAACGTGGGCACCACTACGCGTGCCGAAAAGTATCGAAGCGGCCATATTGCCGACGCTCTAAAGTACCTGTATCAACACGCTCATTTGCATTGCTTCAAACAGTACTTCACGAAGATAAGAAATATATTTTTCCAAATAAGTATCTCCTAAACAATAAGCTGATCTACGGTCTAATCAAAAACAAAATCATACGTTGAAATTACTACGCGGCAGGCGTTGCGTCTTGTGAAGACTTTAGTTTAGGCGAAAATTCGTCAACTGAATAGTAACCGCTACGTATTACTCAATCAATTAAAATACTGTTGTTATGCAGTCAGACACAGCTGCTGCAGCCGCCGCCAACAACAACAACAACAACATTTGCTGTGCTTCAGAACGAATTGCTAGTCGTTTACAACATTAGTATTGCTGACACTATGACCGCATTACTGCTGGTCCATAAAGGGCCACCTCAGTTACGAAGCGTTGGGCCTTAGCCTCTCTGACACCACCGGTAGAGACGTCGGCCGCGTGGCGTTGCCTATGTGTGATCGAGGGGGTGGCGTCACGCGGTGATGAGTAGCACGTGGCGTACGCCGCCTGTCAGCCGGCCCCACAGCCGTGCATGCAGTCCAAGCTCACGTTTCATGAAATCCGCCTTGTTTTGGTTCCAGCTCTACGACAAGATCCATCAACAATGTCTTCTACCACCTCGTGACCTGCCTGACGAAGACGCTTCTCTCATCGCTCAGGAGGTGAGTGAGCATTTTAAACTTACTGCTTCAGCGTCCTATTTCTTGTAAGGTTTAACTACTGATGTTATGAACGAGAATAGCTGTTCTCAGTTTGACATTTTTTCGTATTGTCATGATGTGTAGAATAGAAGGAAATATAAATCCGGCCTACGCAACAATTTTTTCAGTGATTAAATTCCTAGTTAACAGGATAAAAATTATCATCAAACTTGGTAATATGGTAACAAACAAATGGTAAATTAATGAAGCATGCACCTATGTGTGCTTGAAGTTTGTTTTATACAGTATTAGAATTTACGTGTTCGTTCATGCTTTTTCTATACCCATAATGAGTGTGTACGGAAACAGCTTTAGCGAGCGTGGCGTTAATAAACAAACAGAGCGATGTAAATTGGTATGATGTTTAAAGAAGCCATATATGCGTCTAGACGTCTTTCATTCTCTTAGCACTGCGCTCGGTTGTACAAGAACACGCAAGGAACGCACAATCATTAACCCGCCCGAAAAAGCTCTCCGAAGCGAACAAATTCATAAATAGCGATAGCACCCTGTATGGGCTATTTGTGTTAGTTTTCCAGACGCAGAAAAAAGCAATCCGTATGTGTGTCAATGAGTGCCAAAATTTGCTTTGAATAATATAAAAAAATAATATGTTTTTAAAAAATGATATGCTACGTGAGGTGCTTTGTCTGCTCGGTCCGTAACTTCCCCGTATGGTCTACTGTGATAGTTTTTCTGTCATTTATAGGACCTCCATTCCCCAGATGTAATAAAGACGTTGCAAGAAAGAGTCAGCAATAACTAAAGAAAATCGTAGAACAAAGATAAAAAAAAATCGTATAAACCATCGGCAGTGACAGGATCGTAACAGATATGAATAGAAATTGGCTGCAGATTAAAATATCATAGCTTAGTGTAGTATACCGTAGTAGAAAATATTGTGCTACGAAATGGAACACTAGGTAGGGTAAAAATGAATTTTGCTAATATATCTTACTTTGGGACCTCGCTTTATTTTGGTTGCTATACAAGGAAGGAAAACAGCGAAAAGGCCACAATGTAATATATACCTACCGATTAGGAAAATTCTTCTTCTTCTGAAAAAAATGTTCTTTTACTCAACACACCTAATTGTAATTTTTTAGAATGGTGATTTTTTTATATTCATAATATAAGAAAGCAAATATTATTAACGTTAGCAGTTTTTTAGAGGACTAACTGAGAAATACGTTGTGTTAATTATATAAGACTCGTTCAAACTAATCATTAGTCATATGTTCTTTTCCCGTTGGTCCAATTGAAATCGTTCTCACTTTATTATTTTGGTAGGGCGACGTCGAGGGCTGGGCATTGAGGATGACAATTAAGCTTTACCACACCTGTGTGATACACCACATACGTTGCCTCTTCAGATTTCGTTGTCATCAATTTGTAGATGCTTCCACATTTAACCAGGTAAAAGGCGAGAACGTCCCAATTCTTACTGAATCACTTGTTCAGCTCCGGGTCTGATTAAGGCTTAAATCCGGCTGTGGACTTAGCCCTTAGTTAGTTCGCTAATAAGCTGCTCCACTCCTGCTGACGCTCTCTCATAATTCACTCTCTTGCCCTTTCCTTTCCTATGCTAAGTTGTTCTTAAGCTTGGTTTTCTCTTTGATGAGTCTTAGGCATAGTATCGGCTGTGCCAGAGAAATTTCAGCATTTGTTTTCAGGCACTTATCGCTGTTACTGCTAGGAGCCTCTGCACTTTTAGGATTTCCTTTTCTTCGCGTTTGCATCGTCGCGATCTGTTTCCAAGGGAGCGCCATGCGCAGCACACTCCATTCGGCCACTACTGCTAGCAATATCCTCCCTTTTGGATCCCCCTCGCTTTCAGCAGGATTTTAGCTAGACAGTTCGCTGGCTTGCATACTACCGTGCCGATGTACGGGCTTCTTCTAATGGCTCGATCCTCTGTAACGCCTTACTGTAAAATTGGCTTTTTTTTTTATTTGTACTCTTTCTCTACTTTCACTCTATCTTTTGAAAGCGAGATGTACCCATATGTTTTGTGCCCCATTAGTATAACTTACCTATTTTCTGGTAGGTTACAGCTCGCATGTCTCCGTTGATCCGTTCATTTATACAAGAAAAATCTGTATCTCTTGAAGATTCCCGAGGACACTCTTTTCTCGTTGGTGGTTCATCATTTGTTATTTCAGAAAACCAAAAACTTTGCGTAAATCCAGTAAGATAGTCATGCTAGTCAAGATAGACGCTTGCAAATCTATTGAACGCTGGCTTCTGCTCTTTTGCTTTTCGGCATTTGATAAAATCTTTTTAATGGCTTCTTTCATAAACCGGGCCTACCGGATTCGTATTGAGAATTTCTCAATAAGCGCGTGACTCTCTCTTTCAGTATCCCCGTCAATCCTCTATTTATGATAGCTTTGAGAGCTTTTCCAATCGTATCGAGTAAACAAATTGGGCGGCACGTTCCGGACTCTGTGTAACGTTTTATAATGAGGACGAAGAAGCTCTTTCCACATCTCGGAATATCTTGTTTCATGCCATATGTCGTCCGTCCGTCATGCATGTCAAAAATTTCGGCTTCTCCTCCAGGAGCATCATACCGATTCGACTGGGACTCGCTCTAGACCGAATGCTTTGCTCGTAGGGAGTGCTTTAATTACCGCCCCATTCTCTGCTTGAAAGGTAAAGGAAATCTTTTGGTTCTTCTTGGCTTGAAAACACCCTGTTAGCCGCTTGCTTTACCAATTCGCTTAAAAGCCACCGTGGTTACCTCAACTTACTCACAACTATTTTGTAAAGTTTTTTTTTTACATATGTTGTTCTCTATCTCTTCACATGATTCCTTCCAGTTCCTGTCTTTTCTTTGCCTGGAGTCTTGCCTTTTTTTTTTTACGGTTCGTAGCTTCGGGGCAATTCCTTTGCGGTTTTTCTGCATGCCACTGTATGTATATATATATATATATACACTCTATAGTTGAGTAATTTCTGGTCCTTTTTTGGACAAAGCAGGAATATGACAGGGTGTCGTATCGTAAAGAAGCTGAATTTGTTATTAAATGGCTATATGGTTCCTTTATAGCCACACACATTTAAGTGCCCGAACACTAAAATTAGTGACGTTTAGAACGTAGATGACGTTGAATCTGTTAAGGAATTATTCATAATGTTTATCAGCCAGAAACTTAAAAATGTGGCAATGATGTTAAGCGACGTCAATCTGAACTATTATCTGAGGTGGTATCTTCCCGTGTAGAGTCCAATATTTGTACAAACTAGCTATTCTCCAAACACCCAGTGACATCTGTTTAGTAATCTATAGAACTTTAATAAGTTGAAGCTGAACAAATTTCAGAATCAATTATTGCTTTCAAGATCGACAAACAGGCATTGTCAAATGGGTTCTATTTCAGTGTACCGTTTGAGAAGTATAGGAAGAAGCTTACGACAACCTCAATAGTAACCCTTATCGCCGTAACATCAAGTGAGACGAAGCTTACACAACGACCCAAAGGATTATAACTCGGTCGCCCTCTTAGGATATCTTTAATATAGGGATCTGTCTGTTGACATCGGTTTTTATCAGATCTTGCCCCAGGGCTTCGACGTCAATCAACCTCCACCGAGTCCGATACGTTCCGTGCTCGCCTTTAAACTACTGGCTTGTAATGGACCTCGAAACCCAAGCTTCGCTAAGAACTCGCTTTATTTGCGCCGAATATGGTAGGCACAAAATGTATAACATGTTTCTCAATCCATAAAAATTAGATAACTTTGACCTTGTTTGTGTATATTGCTGTTGTCTGCGCCACTCAACACTCGATTATAAATATCCATATCCAAACACTGCCAATGACAAGATAAAGATAATAGTAAAAAGCTACTAAATAACGACTCAATAAGCGATTCTTTCAGAATTTCGAAGTGTCCGAGGTCAAAGTTAACTACGAAAGATCAACCTCGTTGAATATATTAATTCAGGCCAGTTAATTTGAGGAATGGGTAGTCATCGCTAAAACTAATGCCATTAACGCCAAAACACACGAAGATGTATGGTTCTTTTTCGCGTTTCTCACCTCATATCCATTAACACTTTACTTTATGTATAGGTATTTAGATATCGCAAATGGTCAAAGCTATGATATAAGGATAATAGTACATTACAAATGCGTCAAAAGTTCGCTCGAAGCAATTGTTCCTAATGCATATGAGCCTAGTGCAAATGATTTTCTTAAATTTCCGTTTATCAGTGTTTATGTAAGTAACACTGGGCTGTTATGTAAGTAACATATGGGACAAACTTTTACCGACGGAAAAGCAATGGACTTCTCGGTACCAAAGTTAGGCCCCAAATGTTTGTTCTTGGCCTCCTTCTATTTTGTTGGAAGGTAACAACGGCGAATCTAAGGAACTAGAAAACTTTAGAATAAGAGGCAGAAACATGAAAGTAGTACTCTAACAAACCAGACACTAGTTTCGAAACATTCGTTCTGCATTCAGATCATTTGGAGCATGACGATCAGAAGAAAACCATAAACTCTGGTCATCGACGTAGAGGAATATGAGTTGAAGATTTATTAAGAAGGGCGTAGAAGCCATCCTTGATGATTCCGGAATTTGTATACAGATACTGAAAGCTGTCTCTGCAAGCTTATTTATCGCTTATAGGTTCGTCCACGTCTGAGGTCATCCATCACTTAGGCTTTTTTCATTTTTCTCTTTACTTTTTTAACTTTTAGACCTTTTTGTCTTCAAGTGCCCTCGGATTTTTAAAACTTTTTAGCCCGTTGTTAACCCGAACATTAGACTTCTTATGTGATCCATATTTGAGAAAGATCTCGACCAGTATATATCTACTAACAGCGCAGCACTACTATTAAAAAGCTAGTAGAGATTTGAAGAAATCATTTTAGTAAAGGACATGTAATCATTTTCGCTGCCGGATTCAAGCCGTTATCGAAGCGAGTGGTCTTTACATTGGTTGAGCACAT